ATCTATTTAATGGTAAATGAATTTAAGTGTTTTGCAGGGTGGAGGTGTAACAAATTTATCGATCACTGATTATAGTATCACTCTCAATATGGTATATGTACATGAAAAATTTTATTTTTGAATACTTTTGAAACACTAGTAAGACCTAGGTTATAGACACTGCTCTGTATAAGTAAAATGTGCACAGGAATCACAGAATTTTCAGTGAAAATGTGAGATGATACAGATTTCAAGAGCCAGTCTGCGAGAAAACCATGCAATACTGTTCAAATCGAAGGTTGTCATATTTTGATGAAATTTGGTGGATAGTTAGACTATATATTTATCTAGAATATTTCTTTTCAATTTTAGTATATCTTCAATTTTTTGTCAAAGCTACTTTTAAGTGAATTTGTTAAATTTATTCTAAAAATGTGTGTGATCGGTTGACAGGGTATGCTTACTCCTCCATGCTACTTGATTCCACCTCTGATATTTTTAGATTTCAGTGTTTGCTCTGCTCCAAATTTGTATAGTTTTAATTGACTTTTGAGCTTGATTACTGTTCGTAATCTTCATATTTCATTTGAAGTATTTTCTTCTAAATTTCCTTCCACCACAAGGAATAGTTCCCGTAATTCTTATATCTTTACGATTTTGCAAGGAGGTTTCAAGTTGAATATTATATGATTTGCATAGTCTAATTTAAATGTTATAAAATTTGAATTGTGATTAAGAATTTTGACATCAGAGGATCTGAACAAACCCATTTTTTCAAAAGCTGAGGAGGACATACAGCTGATTGCATGTTGATTGATTGCATGTTGTTTAACGTCCTATTCGAGAAATGTTCAAACATTAGAAACGTTCCCTGCTTTAGGTGAAGTGCCATAAGTAGCGCGTACAACCGAAGCAGTTAGAGGTCTTTATCGTGCCAACGCCTACTGTGATACTGGACCTGTTTCTAAGATTTCATCACTTCTAGTTCCGAATGCTTGCGCGAAGGAACAGTTACTACTTATGTTAATCACCTTATGTCTGGCGCAGCGCCGGGAACGAGTATCGAACCCAGGAACCTTCCAATCACAAGCGTCCTACCACTTGACTTCCGCGACCAGTGTGTTAAAAGAGAAATTCTCATTTTTTGTATATAAAAATTAATGAAATGTTCGGAGATGTTCGGAGAAACAAGCTGATGAAGCAAGAATATCAGCAGTCTGGTTTAAAGTCATCATTTCTAAGTTCTATGGTCGATACAATGACCTTGTTAGAAAATACAATTTATCATTGAGTCAAATCCTGACTGACGTTTTTCATGCTAATTGTTAGGCCATTATTTACACTCGGAATTGTCGACGGATTTTTCCGTTCATGCCCGATCATGACAAGGAGCACACGGCGGGTGTGACCGGTCGGCAGGAGATGCTCACTCCTCCATAGCACCTGATCCCACCTCTGATGTTTTGGAGGTCCGTGTGTGCTCTGCTCCTATTTTATATTGTTTAATGGACTTTTGAGCTTGAATACTGTTCGTTATCTCCATATATTTCATTCAAGAAAACAACTTCACTGTAACGGTATGAAATAGATTACAATTGACCGTTTTATTTTAGGAGCAAGGACAAATCATTATCTTTTCTTTGACATTAAAAAACAAAAATTATTATTGTCAATCATGTGATGCCTACTTTTATTTCAAAAATTAAATGTTTATCTCTTTGAATAAAAAGATAACACAACAAGACCAGAGCTACCACCAAATTGAGATAGATAATTTAACTATAATAGATATTGACTAATCCAAAGTTCCTGAATTATTCTTAAAGTTTTAGGAAAATAAGTTATTTTTTATATGCTTCATATATTTCATTTTTTCTTGTTTTCACGTATGGTGAGGTAATTATATAAAATTTAAAAAAAAATGAGACAAGAACAAAAAGTTTTGACCATTTAATAGGAGAAAAAAATGGCAAATTTTTATATTGATCTTTTACTCAAATATCTTCATAGATTGGAAGCTTCAAAAGCTAGCAAAAAAATTTCAAAACTTTTTTTTTTAAATCGTATTTTCCAATTTCTTCAGGAAATTTCGTTAAGGTTTTATTCTAAAAAAAAAAAAACTGTCGTAATTTTAAAAGGAGAGGCTTTTAAGGAGATGTTTTCATACGCTACCATTCTGCCAAAAATGTAATCCTTGCTAGATTTCAAATAGAGTTTACCATTTCTATTTAAAGCTGTACAATTATGAGAAGGAAAGAAAATTTCCTAACTTAATATAAAAAAAAAATTTAAAAACGCACTTAACATTTCATTTGGTCAGAAACCAGACGAGAATCCCTCACAAAGTCTGCTTTACGTACACGTCAGAGTGTTCCAAAGGCATAGGATACGATATTTCTAGGCTGGTTCCTCGTCCCTATTAGTGCTCTGTATTCAGCAGCATCCGTGTTGGCGTAAATGAACCAGAGTTCGCTATTTTTCTCGATATCCACCTTTTACCATCCCAGTTAAGTTATATGATTGATTGATTGTATGTTGTTTTACATCCCGTTCGAGAATTTTTCACTCATATAGAGACGTCACCATATACCGGTGAAGAGCTTCAAATTTCGCCCTATACTCGAAACTCAGGGCCATTGAGCAGTGAGAGTTCTACGTCTACCGTGACACGGGACCTCGGTTTTTGAAGGCCTCATCCGAAAAACCCGCAACTTTCACTTCAAAGTGCCAACGCTTAGCGAAGGAACAGTTGCTACCTATTTTTTGTCGACTTTGGTCAGTCGCAGCCGTGATTTGAACATACGACCTTCCAATCAAGGGAAGTTGACGATTGAAAAGTTAAAGTCATCACGTTTATCATAAAGCTTGGTTGTTAGATTACCATTAACGTCTTTTTCAAGTAAAATATCCAAATATGAAACAGATGTATCAGACTCTGTGGTATCTTTTATCTCAAGCTCACCGAGATATATCGTATCGACATAAGAATGGAAATAACCCATTGTTAATCGACAATACGTCGTCGATATACCTAAATCTCGAGTTGAAGGCCACAACAAGTGTTTTCTACTTATCACGTATAAGATTTTGGACAAATTCTGCTTCATGTGAATACAAAAAAGGTCTGCTAATAACGGAGCGCAGTTGGTACCCATGGAAATTCCAATAGATTGTTGGAATGATACGGGTGTGTAGATCAATTAGATGACGAGTTTTATAAAATTAACATAATAGGGTATAATATTGTACAGCATAAGGTATGCCGCCTTATTTGAGAATACTAACCTGCAGCTTTCCTGCACATATAAAATATGGAAATAAAGAATATTAATCAAGCCCAAAACTCACTTGAAACAATAAAAATCGGGAGCAGAGCAAACACAGACCTCTAAAAAATACCAGAGGTGGGATCAGGTGCCATGGAGGAGTAAGCATCTCCTGTTGACCAGCCACAGTAGCCGTGTGCCCATTGTCATCGCAGCACAGTTAAGGTGCCAAATGGAAATATCGGCGAATTTTTTAGATAGAAAATACATTCTTTACAAGGATGGGCATTTCTTTTTAGGACTTTACTATTATCGGACAAATGCAATGTGGTTGAAAACTAAATGTTGAGGACGATTAGATTTCTTATTAAGACTTGTCACGTGATGTGGCAGTCACGTGATTTTAGCAAATATACCTGAAGTATTGTGGTCATCTATAAATTCTAATATTGCAAGGGCATAACGAAGTTAAAAATCTAAGTTTAACATATAATTATTTTCAACACTCATTGTAGTTTGTGAAAAGTGCTGCGAACCTATATAGATTCTACTATCTAATTGCTAAAATTACATTTGTTAGACCGTATGTTGAATATTTTGCTGGTCAAGTACATTAAATATAGATGTAATTAATTCATTTGCAAGATTTCAACAGGTTCGCAGCACTTTTCAAATATCTTCATACTTCTTGAGTATATGTGTAAAAGCTTGTCATAATTCATTGAGGGTATGCCCTTGCAATATATCGATTTATTACGACCCTTCTATTACCCTTCAATGAAACTTCATACAAATATACGACAGTATCGCTTGTCTAGGGAATGGACGGGAAGTATATGAATAAAATCATAAAACAGACATTGCATCCAAGTTAATGGCCTCTTATATATCTACAATTCATATTTTATTTAATTACAAAATACATTTTTCATTGTATAAATATAGCTTGATCCGCCTCTCACTGCATACAAACTGCGTCAAATTTTACGATATGACGTCACATCGACAAGTTCATTGCGATCAGTGAAGTGTTTATATATTGCTGTGTGGGATTTAACCGACGACAATAATGCATGCACTAGTTAGTATGATGTAGTTTAAAGCTATTCATAAGTGTAAAATAGCAAATCATTTCATTTAGTGGTAATTTGAAGAACTTATATTTTTGTGTGATGTCATAGTAAGCATTTCTCGTATAAATTAGGCCCCGCCTCCTTACTGCAGCCTTAACTGTGCTGCGATGATCGTGAACGGAAAAATCCATAGACAATATAGTGTGTAAATAATAGCCTTAACAATAAGTATTAAAAATTTGACTTAATGATAGATTGTATTTGCTGACAAGGTCATTGTGTCGACCATATAACTTGTGAAATGATGACTTTAAGCGAGACTGTTGATATCATTGTTTCATCTACTTGTTTGCCTCATTTTAGAAATTGTTCGTACGTAGAGCATGCTCTACTGGGGAATATAAACTTCATATGCAGGTGATTATGGTATTTTGCTAGACTAGTAAGGAAAGTTGACAATAGAAGAGTTAAAATCATCTCGTTTACCATTTTTTAGGTTACCATTAACGTCCTTTTTAGTAAAATATCCAAATATGAAACAGATGTGTCAGACTCTGTGGTATTCTATAGACCAACACGAGGGTCGCATATATATATAATTCAATCAATGCATGTAAAATGACGATTCTATCAGATAAAAACAATTGAATTGTATATTCATCTGTACCTTTTTGGAACAGACAGAACAAACAAGTTCTCTTCCCTTAGTATATGGTGGGCATTTCAATGAACCACAAAGACCTTCTAAACAATAGAATAGATTGATTGATTGTATATTGTTTTACGTCCCATTCGAGAATTTTTCACTCATATAGAGACGTCACCATATACCGGTGAAGGGCCTCAAATTTTGACCTTTACTCGGCACTCAGGGCCATTGAGCAGTGAGGGATCTTTATCGTGCCAACGCCTGCCGTGACACGGGGCCTCGGTTTTTAAGGTCTCATCCGAAAGACCCGCAACTTTCACTTCAAAGTGCCGAGCGCATGGCGAAGGAACAGTTGCTACCTATTTTTTATCGACTTAGGTCTGTCGCGGCCGAGATTCGAACTCACGACCTCCCGATCACGGAGCGAGCGCTCTACCGACTGAGCTACCGTGAACGGTCAATAGAATAGATAGCCGTCTTCATTAGCTTGTCCGCGATGCATGGTGTCTGGATTCTCGTCTACAAACTTTTATGTTGTATCAGCTGGGTGATTATAAAATCCAGCCATTAGGTAACCTTAGCTCCATCCTGTGTAGTAAGTTTTTCTTGCTTTAATGAAGTAATCAAATTGGACGTAAAATTAATTATTATTTCATAATTAACACAGCATTGAAGGTGTACCACGTAGAAATCAACAAAATATAAACGTGCATAAATAGATACCTTTTTAAACTTAATTTATTTTTTAAAGCTACTATATTACCACGTGACTTTAATTTTAATTGAAATAACATTGTATACCCCGCTCTGTAAAGCTTATTATTATTGTATAATGCGGTTCTATTACAAAATTCAAATGTTGATTTTTTTTTCAATTATTGTTTGTTCAACTCTATTCAGAAGAAAAAGATAGGATTTCTATCGAAATACTCTAATTGAGCAGGATGTAATTGGAATAGTTCATGTTGAGAGCAAATTCCATTCTGCAGAAGCATCATTGATATGTAGAAAGATTAAGTGTAACTTTGTCGAGTTTTTCAGTGTTAAATATTTCTAAGGTTTTCGGAAATGTGTTTACAGCGCTTAGTAGATGTATAATGCAAGGGAATGCAAGTAATTTATAGAGAGACGAATTATTAAGCTAATTTTTATAGAATATAAAACTTTTCAAATTTAATTAGAACCCTCGAGCTTTAAAATTTTTACATTTTTCATTTTAAAAAATATGACTTGATCCGCCTCTCGCTGCATAGATTTTACGATATGACGTCACATTGACAAGTGCATTGCGATCATTGAATGGTTTATATCTTGCAGGATTTTATTAACAGCAAAACAGTATGCAATAATAAGTTTTGATGTAGTTTAAAGCTCTCCTACAGTTAAAAATAAGAAATCCTTCATTTTGAGGTAATTTAAAGAAACAATATTTCTGTATGATGTCATATATAATAGATATTTCTCGTATAAATTAGACCCCGCCTCATTTTTGTAGCCTTAACTGTGCTGCGTCCGCTTACGTCTCGTATTTTTGCTCGATTTATGAGATTGATCATAGTGCTTTATAATCAACTTTCATGCATTAAATCATCGAGGCAATAGGTCAGAGGTGCTTTGAAATCGGTAAAATGCACATTTCCGACAATAAATATAAAAATGAATGTAAAAGTTTTGAGTTTCCAAACTTAAGGGTAGGCATACGTTAAGTTATGCAATTTCTTTTTTTTTTCTAGCAAATATTCTTTAAAAAAAACTGAGTATGCGATTGAGTGGAAATTACTTTTTACTCTTATATCAATACCTTTTTCTTTAGGTGATTGCTTATTCCTTGTACTGTTTCAACTTCAGGAATTATTTTGTTTTAGTGGACAATTTTCCTGAACCATTAATTTTGCATACTCTTTGCAGGTTCAGAAATTTTTATTTGACGTGCTATACTTTGTTCCCCTACTGATTCTGAATGATTATAGATGGGTATACCCAGATTTTTCTTTCTTCTACGTCAACGGAATCGAAAATGTAATGGAGGTCACAAAATGAATATCCAGCCGTTATCCTCCTTTTTCGTTTTATTTACTTTAAAAAATAGATGGTAGAACATTAATGTAACGATAAAACTCATTTGTTCCTAACAACCAAATACCTTTAAATAACGAGACCAAATACAAGGTTAACACATGCGCTTTAAACGAATGATTATAAACTGATAGAAACAAAGAAATGAAGCACTTTGCTGCAATATATCTATTCTTTATTTTTTGGAACAAACAGCGCACGCTAGTTCTCTTCCTTCAACATATGGTGGACATTTCAATGAACCACAGCGACCTTCTACAAGATAAAATAGGTAGCCATGTTTTCCAGTTTGGCCGCCATGTAAGGTGTCTGGATTCCCGTCTACACTTTTGTATGTTGTACTGGCTGCATGATCATGGTACCCAGCCATTAGGTAACCATGGTATTCAAGGTTCCAGCCTTTGTAACAGGTTTTCCTTGCTAATTTTTTTAAAAAATTGAAGATTTGATAAAGAGAGGAAAAAAATATTAGCCATGTGGAGAGAAGATAGAATACACAGATTTCTAAAGTCATGCAAAAATCGGCCTTTTGTAAAAGTGGTGACTTACGTGTACATAAGAATAGCATAAAAAATGCATATCTTTGAACTTGAATAACAACCTAATTCTGAATGAATAATACAGGATTTGTTGTTTTATTTTAGAGATTGTACCAGTTTACATTATCTGGACGTTTTGCATTCATACAAAAAGATTTTTGCTTTGCAAAAAAAATATCTGACAACAAGGAATGTATTAACAGACTGTACTTTTTTTCTATTTCAATTAAATTGTACAAAATCTTGATACAAAATAAAAAAAATATGACTCTACACAACATTACATGAATTTGTAGACATATCATTCTTATTCATTTTGATTTACTCGCCTGGAAACATTTTCATAACGGATCTGTTTTGAACAAGGCAGATAGCACAAGGTACGTCTTGGTGATGAAGTGAAGTAAAGTGATTTGGGAAAAAATCCAGTTCGTACTCTGCTCCATATACATAGGCCCTAGCTCCATCATTTCCATCCTTGTAGATCCCCCACTCCGGATCCCTCGGTAAACAAAGAGGATCTATAGCCGCTCCTTTATGAGTATGATAAGATCCTCCAGAGAATCCTATAACAGTTTAAATCCTTGATAAAGTTCGTAATGTAACAATATCTATCCGTTATATCTACATAAAAGTGCAGTGTTACTAGTGACTAATTTTTCAATTGTTGAACATTTTCTCCCGAATAAATACAATTCAAAAACATATTTCAAAAAATAAATAAATAAATAAAAACAAAATCATTTATGTTTCGAGGTATAGAATTTATTTACCAGAATAAACAAGTTTTGCGTTGGATGGACACATCTTCTTTCCCCATCTAGTGTATACAATGTTTTTGTTTCCTATACCTACGAAAACGAAGAATTCCATTTCTTTTTTATATCAAATGATAAATATTAAAGAATACAAATATTATATAAGTGTTCGAATAGAATACCTTCATCCTGCATGCTAGCATTTACTTCCTCCTTGAATTTTTTCATGGATTTCTCAATGACACCAGTGAAGCTTTTGAATTCCCGCCTTAAAGCTTCTACCTGATATGCTCCTAGAGCAGACGACAGCTGTCCTGTTAAGTAACCCTGTAACATGTCTTTACAATTTCCGGTCTGTGTTTCTCCAATTGTCTTGTGGAGAAGAAAAACCAGGACAAGATAAAACGCCATTATCTAAAGTTAACATGAGGCTTTTTTTTTTTTAAATTTTCTAACTGAGATACTACGTTTTTAATTGAATATGGTACAGCTGTTTATTAACAATGAATTTTCAAGAAAGAAGAAAAATATACGAAAAATATTAGACATTTTATTATCATTTCTTATGTTTATTTTTAAATGATAAATCTCTTCTCATGAAAAGATAAGCAGACTGTGGTATACAAAGCAATGGTATACAAAACAATTTTTCAAAATTTATTTCATTGCCTCCTACCTTCGTAATGAATGTTTCCTAGGTAAAATGAAATGTGATTTTCGGCCAATATTTATGCTTATATTCTTTTTGCATCAAATATAATGATTGAAAATTTGAGGACTAACATCTGGTATCAACCCACGCATTTTGATTTCACAGTGAGACACGAAAAAGATAGATTAAAACATTATTTAATATCTATGTTAATTCCATCAAATTGTAATTAAACACCTAGAAGTAAGGAAAATAAATTAATAATAACGAACATTCTAGTTTCCCTTGCAATCTATGGCATTTATGAAATAAGCTTAAGTAGGGATTCTTGTCTGGTTTCAGACTAGCTGAAATATTCACAGTATATTTGCATATATGCCTTATATATTTAGATGTAAGGGATTTAAAAGATCATATTTATCTTTCCTCAACATAATTGTACAACTTTAAGTAGAAATGGTAAACTGAGTTTGAAATCTAGCAAGGACTACATTTTTGGCGAAACGGCGGCATATGAAAATATCTCCTTTTCTGCTTTTCAAAATTACTAAAGAACAATGAATTTAGTTCAACATTTTTAAACGATCAAAGACTTAAAGAAAATTTCAAATGAGAGTAGAATTAATAACTATGGACTGAAGTTTTAAAATATATCAAATAAATATGATTTTCTAAATAAACTACAATTTTGTTAGCTTTCAAAAGATTCCAATCTAAAAACAGATTTGAAAAAAAAATCCGTAGAGAGTGGGTTTTTTTTCTCTTAGTAAACGGTCAAAACTTTTTGTTTCTGTATCAGTTTGTATCTTTATATGACTTCTTTACCATATGTGAAAATGAGAAAAATGTAAATATACAAGCATATAAAAATAACTGATATATTCTAAAAAAATAGGAAAAACAGAGGAAATTTAGATTAATAGATGATATCTATTATAGTTAAGTTATTTATTTCAATTTGGTATTATCATCTAATACACCCTATGAAATATGGAGATAACGAACAGTATTCAAGCTCAAAAGTCCATTAAACAAAACAAAATAGGAGCAGAGCACACACGGACCTCCAAACATCAGAGGTGGGGTCAGGCGCCATGGAGGAGTGAGCATCCCCTGCCGACCTGTCACACCCGATGTGTGCTCCTTATTTAATATAATGAGCCTTACAAACAAAGACAATGTTGTTACCTGCTTTGTCAGCAAGAACCAGTACGTACTGATCACGTAATCTATCTAATTCTTTCTTCACTTCTCCGACCGGTCACACCCGCCGTGTGCTCCTTCTCATGATCGGGAAATAACGGAAAAATCCGTCAACAATTCAGTGTGTAAATAATGGCCTAACAATTAGTATGAAAAACGTCAATCAGCATTTGACTCAATGATAAATTGTATTTGCTAACAAGGTCATTGTATCGACCATAGAACTTACGAAATGATGACTTTAAACGAGACAACTGATATTCTTGTTTCATCAACTTATTTGTCAATGTGATATGATCTTTATATGCAAAAAGAAAAAACATTTAATCTTTTAAAATAGAAGTAGGCATCACATGATTGGCAACAGTATTTTTTTTTTATTTTTAAGGTCAAGAAAAAAGATAATGACCTTGATCTGACCTTGCTTTTGAAATAAAACAAATTTAATTTAATTGATACCATCACTTAAAGATAATGTCCTCTTCAATCTATAAAAATTTCGTTTATTTTTAAATGCAAGAAATATGCTAAGAATCTCTCCTTAACTACATTATAAAGGTTTTAATGCACATTTTATGTTTGTCTAGTTAACCATGATGACTGATAGCATTTAAGATTCAAATTATGAAGTAAAATTTTAGTTATATTCAAATTATTTGAACGAATGTTAGAAAGTGTTTATGAAATTAATTAAACATAAAGTCGAGGAAGGAGAATGCTAAAGTAGGCAAATGAGCATTGTCTTCTCTCATAACCAAATTTAGATGTGGAAATTTTCTAAGCAAAAGTCAAATTTGTTCTCAATAAGTCTTACAACATTTAAATTAAGTATGGGGACATAAAATAATGAATGTATGGTATAAAGAAGTCAAGGATGTCTTCTTCTTATATAATGATATGATAATTCTTATTGCAGTAATTGGGGGGGGGGGGGGTGACGTATTTTACATTGATGAAGAAAATGAACAAGACTATTATAGTGCTCCACTTTTTTGGGAGTTCAATTCACAAACAAATTATGAGTAAAACTTATTGTAAAGCTTATTGTGTCTCTACTCAGATCACTTCTTTACGTATGAGAAATTGAAATACATTTATCTTTTAAAGTTACTCTTCATTTTCAAATGATATCTTATAGAATCAAAGAAAAAAAATCGAGAAGAAATTAAAACAATAAAAAGCAGAAAGTCTTTTTAAGGAAAAAAAGATTTTATGTTATTTTATATAAAATTCAGACTTATCTGAATCGGTGCAAGCAAAGATTTTTTTTTTTCAAATGGACTGGTAAAAAAGTGTAAAAAAAAGAAAGTCTGTTCTCTTTTTCTTTTGCTAGATAAAGGTTCATATTTTATATTATTACTTGTCAGAAACCCCTCATCTTAAATTCGTTTTTTTAAGTTTTCAAAGTTCTGAGTGAAAAATGGTTTCTTATTTTATGCCTAATTTTATCGAATAAAGAAAAGAAAATATGTTCGCCATCAAAGCCTTGTTTTGATACTAGTACATGAAGATTTTAATTCTGTCTATGATTGTTTACTGGATTTATAAGACTGATCACTGTTTTACTCTTCACTTCTGATTTACATTTTAACTACTGATCATGTATCTCAATCTTCTTTTCAACAATCTGTCCCAGTTGATACATGTAGTTTGGTGTATTTTAGTAAGAAAAAGAAATCTCCATTGTCTAGCACGTCGTCAAGTATAAAAAGTTGTCACTCTGTTGAGTCTATAAGAGGCAGACTCCAGCAAAGTAGTTGGTGTCCCTAGTATTGTCCTTGGAGACAAAGAATTCGTCTTATATACAGTCTTCAGATAACAAATTTTAATATAAAACACACTGCACCTTCTCTAGAATAAAAGATTGTAAGATCAGAGATGTTTTCGACGATTCCTATTAGGATACCATGTGTTCCATTTCCAAATGTTGTACCAAAAATTGTAAAACCTTTATTTTGATAACCAGAAAGTCTTTTAAAAGCAACTTCATAGGACAAAGACTTAATACCAAAAGTTGTGAAGATCTGAGTTGTAAGTCTTCTACGAGGGCCAGATTTTTGGGGAAAAAAATACATTTCCAACAAACAGTTTTACTATTAGTACTCCATTCCGTAGAAAATTTGAATAAATACTGGATTAGGACACTAGGCACTTCATTACTACGTACATGGTTGCAATTACCATATCAATAATGTAGGAAATCTTTCAAGCCTGTGGTGTGACAATATGAATGTGATAGGACTTTTTAATAGTACGTCAAGACGTAAGCGCAGTCATGGATATCATTTAAACTACAAGCCAAAAATATACACGATGTTTCATTTGATTCGCTTTTACCTTTTGTAAGTTGAAGTCTATATCTTGTATTTCCAACAGATATTCCCTACCATTGCATTAAAAACTTTCAAGTGTAAACAAACTCTGCAGTGTGTAACCATCTAAAACAAAATACTCCTATAATATAGGTGTTCTTGTTCTTCCTCCTCTTTCAACTACAGTTCAGCTTGACACATCGTTACTTGTGATGTAAACATAGTCTAAAATGACTATCTTTAAGCTATCATTTTAAAAAGTCCTATATTCAGGGTTCTCAAATCATTCTCATGAGGAACATAACTTCATTTCTGTCATGAATTTCGTCGCGAGGAGTATACTATATATTAAAGAATCCCATTCAAAATCAAAGGATAAAATGTAAACCATCCATCCTTCCGTTTTCAGAATACCGGAAAGAAAGTGATAAATGAGTTAGAAGGACTACAAAAAATAGATGAAAATAACGACCAGTGATCGATTCTAAAAAAAAAAAAAAAGCTGCAAACAATGTACACATCTGTGAACAAGGCATAAAACACGGACCCCTGGAAATTCCAGAGGTGCGATTAGGTACCCATAGGATAGTAATCATCCCCTGTCGACAGATCATACCCGCCGTGAGTCAAATGTATTGCTCAGATAAAGGAAATAATACATAGTCAAACTAAGGATAAAAAACAAAAGCGTAACAACATGTTTTGGTCCCGGCTGACAAAGCTTGTTATAACGTAGTCTTTGCTTGTAAGGCTCATCATCACAATTGAATTTTAGAACTTGGTTTGAATTCCACATCTGGTATTCCGACCTATACCCCTTCTTGTATAATGATTTTTTTTAATCAGTATTCAATACTTTTAATATTCCAATTAATGGAAATGTTTGATTTACCATACCTTTATTGGATTCCAACACTTTATAAAAATCCTTACAAAGATATGTTGCAGGGTCCAGCAAATGTTCAAGAAAGCCCCTGTCCTTACTCCTCACAAAATTAGAAACTTCTGTGAAGGAAAACGTCAGATGTATTCTGCTATAACATATTCAATAAGTGGTTTAAAACAATTGTGAATTCTAAAAAATCTCCAAAGAACTTTAGGAAAATTCAAAATCTCGAAACTTTTCGAATATAAATAGCATCAAAACATATGACTTTTTTTACGCTTTACACAACCATTCCTCACGATAAATTAAAGATCGACCAGACTTTTTGACATCATAGACAACTGCTTCCACGGTAAAA